GTGAGAATAAAACCACCATAGCTGCCTATGTTTCTTGTTTAGATTATAATACTACCAGCTCTTTTATCCTTTTCTCTGTCAATCGTGTTTTAAACATTGCTGCAGCTATAAGCCACACCTTTGATTTCACTGAGGGAAACTATGCTACACTTTGGCAGGACAAGTTCTTGCATGATGTGCACAAACATTGCAGAAGTCCAGAGTACTTTTTATGTCGACTCTGATATCTTTCCATGAAAAAAACCTGTACGGCAGCAGTGCATGAGTATTCATGAAAATGTTTAAGGAATTTGGTGAACAAATGTCAGATTATGGCATTAGCAGCTTGCTGAGTAGGTTTGTTAGTGTTTTTCCATTTGTATGAATTCAGCCAAATGCGGCATGCAGAGGGAGTAGGAAGACCTCTACTAGGTGCAAACTCAGAGTATTCCTCTTTTGCGAACTTGCAAGCCATTCACAGCATTGACACTGGTTACCGCGGTAACCCTCTGATTCCCGGAGTTCCCTGGCTCACGAGAGGACTTCATACAGCCTGCACCCAGCAGAGGTGCAGAGTGAAACACTGGATCTGAATATTCCATCCCCTGAACTATGTAGGCAAGGTTGGGAGAGCATAAAATGTAATATTAATTAATATCCATAATTTGCTCTCTCACCCTTAAGGGACCACTATAGACACCCAGACCACTTCAGCTTAATGAAGTGGTCTGGGTGCCAGGTCCATCTAGGTTTATCCCTGCCTGCTATGTTTACTAATGGGTTAATCCAGCCTCTAGTGGCTGTCTCATTGACAGCCGTTAGAGGCGCTTCCGCGCTTCTCACTGTGATTTTCCTATGAGACCTGCTGAATGTGCGATGACGGCAGAAGAAGGAGGAGATTTCCCAGCGCCGAGGGAGCCCGGCGCTGGAAAAAGGTAGGAATTTAACCCACTTCCTCACCCTAGAGCCTGGCGGGAGTGGGACCCAGAGGGTGAGGGGGACCCAAGGACCCTATAGAGCCAGGAAAACGAGTATGTTTTCCTGGCACTATAGTGGTCCTTTAAACCATCTCACCCCCCACACATTACATGCCAATACACACTTCATTCCTTATACACACTACATACCCTATACCCCTAAACTCTCTACAGCTACACACACCCTACAGCCCCTATACACACACATTGCATTCCCCTTATAAACATGACATTCCCTATACATACATACATACATACACTACATCCTCTAAAAAGACACATACCTTCTCATCCCCCTATGAGCCCACACACACAGTACTTCTCATATACACTCACACACACTTTACAGCCTCAAGACACACATGTAAACACACATACACTACATATCCTAGAGCCCCCACATGCAAACACTACAGCCCCATACAATCACACACACACACTCTCTACAGTCCCTAGACATCTATGGACACACTATATCCCCTAAAAACACAGTGCATCATCTAGACATATACTCTGAGCTCACACACACTACATCCTGTACATGCACACACATCATCCTCATACAAAATAGAATACTGGCCTCCTACCTGCCTTCTGTTCCTTGACACTTTTATTATGTGTGTCCCAGCACAAACCCATAGGCTTGCAGTGGATGAGGGGTAAGGAGAGGGGTAAGAGGGAAGTTAAGAGAAAAAAAGGGGTATAGGGGTATGAGGCACACAATGGGTACCATTTATAAGGGAAAAACAGTGTCCTCCGCATTCCCTATCTCTATGCTCATTTAAAATTTTGTAAGTTATGGCAAATGGGGGGGGGGGAGATTCCATGGAGTCAATACAGATGCGTATGATGAATAGTTACTGAGGACAATTTGTGTTATTCACCTATTATAGAAAAAAAAAGAAACTGTACAAGAGATCATATAGAAATTATGACATTTTTAAAAAGGAAGTTAATTACTTGAGTTTTTATTTTTCAAAACACATTTTTCTTTTGATGTGTTTCCATCCTGACTTTCCAATGTTTCCATTTTATCATTTTTTTTCCATTTAATACAGATTCACATGAAGAATTATGTCCCCAAGTAACTGAAATAGAAATGCAAACTGCCCAACGTTAACATCAAAATGTAATAAATGGAACTATTTTTTTTTCTTTTTCTAAGTAATACAACAAAACCAAGAACAATAATAATATCAAAGTATTTAACCAGGCAGATGTGAAGTACATTTGTAACTTATTGCAATTCTAATACCCTATACATCCTGGATTAAAAATACAAAGGCTGATTTGTATAAAACTAGCAAAAATAAACCATTCCTTGGGGCACATGTGAAAGCTTTGAAAAATGTCTATAATAGCTGCAGGAACTGCTGGGCGAGTGGAAGATTATGCAGGCTGGTAGAATCCTGTTTTAGCTCTCCAGCCCTTGTAAGTCAAAATATTATTTCTATAGCACCAGCATCTACTGCAGCGCTGTACAATGGGGATATATACAAATCAACAAACACGTTTAAGGGAATAGCATGGTTTGTTGAGGAAGGCCCTGTTCCAATGAGCTTCCAATCTAAACTAAACACAAATTGTGTATTTTTATAGATATGTATAGACTTAATGGCTTTTCCGTTATCACTGAAATGCTAGTTATTGCTTCTGTCGTACAAGAGTTATGGCATGTTACAAAACAGTCTTGTTCATGACTTGCTGCCCTACCTACACCATTCTCTGAATACTCCAATATACGCTAGCTCCATTAAATTACTGATGGCTCCTTTACTTCCCAGTGTTATATGGGTAAATGTATCCAAGATCACAGTACATATTGTCTCTGGGTTATTCCGTCTAAGCAGTCAGGAATGTAAAGTATTTCAAAGTTTAGACCAAAGTAGTTGAATTAAATACACTAGCTGAGTTGGAGATTTCAAACTTCGACTAGTTTGGCTTAAAATCTGAATCTCACTTTTGATTTTCCAACTTTTCACTACCAGTATAGCTCCTAAATATTGTAGCAAACTGGCTGTTGTGGAAATCTACTTATAAATATTTCGATTTTTACCGTGTATATAAAGTGAACAATGGCACTTAGAACAATTACAGCTTTAATAACCTATTTTGATTTGGAAATTGTATCCACAAAATGCCTCAAAGCACTCTAAGACATGAATTTAACTGTATCAGAAGTTAATTTATAGATTGCATTATTACCTGACCTAAAGTTATTAAAGGGACAATCCAGCCCCTGAAAGCACTTCTGCTTGCTGAAGTATTTCATGTGTGACGAATGTGTCCTCTTCTTTTCATTTTATGAAAAGTACAGATTTCAATATAAATTTGCACTTTTATAAATTAAGTTTGTTACACCCCCCTTGGCTGTCAATCAAAAAGGTCCATTGCTCAGAGCACCTGCCTTGAGCTGCATTGGGAAGTCTGTGATTGGACAACCACAGAAAGTCTGTGTTGGGTAAGAAGGGGAGAGCTTGCAAAGGCAGGGAACAAGAGAACTACAGCTTTTTCAAGCTATTTTTAGATATACCCCGAAGTGAAAAATGCACAATTAAATGCATGCATGTTTTCATTTAAAGTATATCTACTAAACAGTGATTTAAAAAAAAAAAATGTATTTGGGCAGTGGAATGTCCCTTAAAAAGCAGGTATCTATACATGATGTTAGTAAGCTCACCAACAAACACATAGTTTAATAGATACTTCCGTAAACTTTATATTTAATAATAATTGTGAGGGGTCAGCTACACCCGCTGATGTGCAAGGTATTCCACAATGCATAGTGTGCAAATGATTTTGGGGTGGCGCCAAAACATCTATCGGCAAAAGGCTATGGTTTCTTTTTTCCTGTGTCAAAAAGGTTCATTACTAGAACTATATTAATAGGTATACTAGCTAAATAACTTTATTTTTATACACCTCTAAGTGCAAGGTATAAATGAATTTAGCAGCACTACAAATGGGACTGTTGGGAAATGTTCTTTAAACTGTATTTTAACAAACCCAGGAAACAAAATGTACGTTTTAACAGGTATCGTTTCTGTTACTTTAACAACTTAACTGTTGCAGTGCTTCATCATCATCATTCATTGTGAAGTTTACTATTAAGTAAATAAAGGCATGTGTCTTAATGGGCTTATACTAGACAGAATTCATTTTAATTATTCCATTAGCTTCTAACATGTCTCCCAACCACCTCGATTTTGGCAGGACAATCCCGAGTTTTGTGTCTTCTCACTGCTTTTGAAGTGCTCCCTGCAAATCCTGCCCTCAGTCGGCTGGCCTGTTTGATTGGCAGACAACCTGGCATGCTAACCTGTTCCGCCCACTTTCAGGATGTCTGCCCCCTTTTGAGCACAGCCAGTGATGGTATCGTGTCACTCGCTGCCTCTCTACTCCCTCCCACCAATATGGGGGGTATGTTCTAACACTGTATTTCATGGTAGTATGGATCCCTAACTATAATAACAATTCCTGCCGGATAAGTGCGTGCTAACCATTCGTTTTAATATTAACGCTTACCTAAACATATCTAATGATAGCTGTCATTTGCTTTAGCCATGCTGCCAAGAAGCTAACATGTTCTTCGCAGCTGTATGTATATATGTGCAAAAAATTGATACTGTTACGGAACGTGTAAAATTGGACCTGGAGGTTTATGCCCTAATTTTCAGCTGAAGACCTATTAAAGGAACACTATAGCGTTAGGAATACAAATATGCATTCCTAATGCTATAGAGCCCTAGTCACTGTTTAGGTTAATTAACCATTTATTTGCTTACCTTAACCCCTTAAGGACACATGACATGTGTGACATGTCATGATTCCCTTTTATTCCAGAAGTTTGGTCCTTAAGGGGTTAATCCAGCGCCAGGCTAGCTCGGCACTGGTGACCTCTCCTCCCCCATAACCGTCAGTTCCTGAGCGCGCGCGCATTCAAACTGGCCCATAGGAAAGCATTACTCAATGCTTTCCTATGGGGATCTTTTTGTCCTCACGGACCTCCAGCGTCAAATAAGTTCGATTTACTCAGTGTAAATTGCGGAAGCGCCTATAGTGGCTGTCAGGGAAACAGCCTTTAGAGGCTGGATTAACCCTGCAGTGTAAACATAGTAGGTCTCTGAAACTGCTATGTTTTCAGCTGCAGGGTTAAAACTAGGGGGACTTGGCACCAAGAGCACTTCATTGAGCTAAAGTGATCTGGGTGCCTATAGTGGTCCTTTAAAGAGGTCTCTGCAGTTATTAGCAATGCAAGATGAACACTGCTATCCACAAGCTCACACACAACATCTAATACCAGTTATGTGCATTGCTAATGTAAATGTACTAAAGCATTGTGAGTTATAAAGTGCAGTAAGTATCTGCACACACCTAAAGGAGCAGATCAGTGATGCAGAATCCAAGGTTCTCTGAGATCAGATCAGTGATGCAGAATCCAAGGTTCTCTGAGATCAGAAAAAGGCTTAGCAATTACACCAACTATTTTACATAGCTACATGGTGCAAGAGAGAGTACTTGAAAAGAAAGTACCTATAACAGTTTAATTATTGCTACTACAGGACAACTAAGGTAGCCACTAAGATAATAAAAAACATCTACTAACACAATATTATGGTGGAGATTATAATGTCAGGATTCTTTAAAAAAAAAAAAAAAAACAGTTTCAGAAAACATTTATTTTCTAATTTTGTGGTTTATGATCCAGCTATAGTTACACATTTGCTTGTATCTTGTGCTTAGTAAATAATGTTTTTTTAAAACAAACTTTGGAATTCTGAACCAGTCTAGCATTTTAAGAACACACTTTTTCCAGCTAGTGCAGATATTGTCAAGATAGTTTTGGGTGAAAATTACCTCCCTCCTCATTTTGAGGACAAGAAATGAGTTATAAAAATATATTCGAAAAAGAAAAGGACATTTTATCATTATTATTTTACTGTTTAAATAATTCTATCAATTAAGGCAATGTTTATTTTAAATGACAGGTCCACCTTTACTGTTATGGCAAAATGTAAACCACATTATTTGATATTTTACTAAGCATGTAGAAGATTTCTTCAGAGGTAGATTTTGATAAAGCATTGCTTACATAGTGAATAGTTTAGTTTTACCTAGTTTGTAAAATGGCTTTCATTGCAAAAAGGAAAATTCTGTTTATAAAGAATACCCCGAGCGCCATAAAATGTTCATCTTAACTAAGTTGTTTTGGTGCCTGTAGCCCCTAGGTGCCATCTTACCTTTAAGTGTTAAACTGTTGAGAATTTTTTAACAGTTAAAGATAGGATGGCTCCAAAGGATTCTAGGCACCATAACAACTTAATTGAGATAATGTTGTTATGGTGCCTGAAGGATTCCTTTAAATTTTAATGTGTGATAACACACTAATTGTCAAAGGTGTACTTTGCTTAAAAAAGATGCTTCAAAGAACTTAATTTTGATCATTTTAGGCATCCAAGAAGTGAACAGTCAAAATTCTCTTTTCGCTATATGTGGAAACCACAATTTAAAAAAAACAAAAACCTGCTACACAACTTATCACCGATGCAATCCATCATACCTGAGAGTATGTGCTACAACACACAAACAAACAAAAAGGAATTGCTCTATAGATTGCAAACAAAAAAAATGCCACAATTCAATCCTGGTCTCATCAATGGAGCAAGCAGGAACACAGCAGGAACTGCAGAAAACCATTGTATTACATAGGAAAATGCTCAATAAAATATTCTTTGAAAGAAGATTGGGATATTTTGACAAGGGTGTTGGACGGAAAAAGATTGACATGTTTTAATGATAATCAAGTATATCAGCAGAGCTAGGTAATGTGAAGGTTTCTATGATAACGTCTGGAGAAAGTAGACACATCAATAGTCTAATTAGTAAGTAAAGTGCGTTACTGTCCCTATCAGACCTGGACATCCTGAAACACCATCTGTTGCTACACAGTAAATCTAACTAACAAGAACCAACCACACATCAGTTCAATGACAGTAGCTGCTCAGCCTGGTACTTGTTGAGATAAATTACATACATTATTATCGTGAATTTATAACAATTGTGATAATCTGAGCTAGTTTGAGTACCAGTAAGGAGTATTTAGCTATGTTCTGTACATGCAGTTAGCACTCAAAGGGTTTAGCGTAATACTGACTATTTCATAAGCAGCTTGTAGGCCTAACATAGCCTAAAACGTGGGTAAAAATATCACAAGTCAGCTTACTGTGATGCAAATGGTACTTTGGTTTGTACTGAAACAAATGTAATGATATCCGTTGACTTCAAGCAGCTACATGTCATTGAAAAACCATATTGCTCGTTTATGCCAGTACAAAACTGGGATGATGTAACCCTTCATGTGCTAAGCAGAGGGTCAACGTTCTTTGGGGTGCACAAAGCGTTAATAGATATTCCTTTTGCATGTTGTAAAACATTATTCAAATATAAGCTTGTTTACAGTAAAAAAAAAAAAAAAAAGTATATAGTAAATAGACTTCAGAAGCTGGTCTCCAGAATCCAGTACAAAGGATATGTTTAAATAATAATAAAAAATAAATAAAAAAAACAAATTCAATTGAAAGGAAATGTCTTCCTTCTTGTGATCGGCTCACTTCAAATGAACAGTATTCCCCCTGGTTATCTTTACCATACACTTGATTATACACCTTGATTTCATTATTTACCCAGCAGTTTATATATGATCTATAGGTTATTCCATAGTCAGCGCTTTCTAAATTCTAAAAGAATAGCCATGTTTTCTTCAATTCTTCTTTTCTTATGTCCCCATTTCAAATTGCATTTATGATAAAAACCTGCCTTACAGAATGATGCTGTGATTTGTCCTTCTTCCATAAATTTTCAAAGGGGATCAATCCTGATGATGTGTATGAGGTCAAAGAACATTTCTCCTGTAGACATTGCAGTGCTGGACTATGCATCATGCAACAGACACCATAATCTCAAAGCAAAAACATTGGTAGAAAAATAGAGCTATAGCAAAAGAGGATGCTTCTATGACAAGTAAATTTATAGGCAACACATCCAAAAAAAGATTATTTTTTTTATACTGGTAGTCCTGTACAGCCTATATACAACATGAAGAAAACTAGCATAAAGAGGAAGACAGCAATAATAAATGATATTAAAATAAGTAAGACAGCCTTTAATATATCAATGTTGTATATGGATATATAGGCCAAGGACCAGTTTTATGTCTAGATTATTTATGGTCAATATTCACTACATATATTTAAATTATTGTATTAATAATCTGTCTTATTTTACTCGGAATCTCTAGAATCATGCCGGGCTAAGGATTGCTGTTTGCCTCTTTCACTTTTTGGGAGCTTGGCTTTAACGACTGGAATGTTAGATGATAGATTATCATTTTCTGCTGAAAACGTTTCGGGACATTGAGTATTCAGTCCTACGGCACCACCATGGTGGGAGCTGGAGGATTTGGACTCTGATCTGTGCCGACGAGGAGGAACATGCCTCTTGGGATATAAAAACAGGGCTGGATCTGGCATAGGTTCCAGATCGTCAAAGCTAGTTATTTCCTCTCTTTGAAATGAGTCTCTTGATAATACTTTGGCTGTCGTGCACTCTGACATCTGCCGCCAAACACTGTGGTTCTTATAGGTTTTCCTTTTTGCCTTCCCTTCATTATACGGTTGCTTAAGTACAGTGAAGTCAATAGGCCGAAAAAACATCTCAGTGTCTTGTTGGTGACTGAGAAGCTTCTGCTTGGTGGTATGGAGTTGAAATGACAAATATGCTGTAGCTTCCGTCTGCTTCTGCAACTCTGTGTTGAGGATCGTCACTCGATGACTTCTTCTTTTCAGCTCATCCAAGAATCTCCTCTCCTTGTCCCTCAGTTTGGATCTTAGTGCAGCTACTCTATTCTCCCGGTGATAGAGATCTTTCTTTAGCTCGGAGGTAAATTTTTCCTTTTCAATGTATCTTGCTTCCAGGATCCGGCATTTTTCCTCCATCTCTTGTTCAAAAAGATCTATAGAAAAATATAAAAACAGATATTTAGATTACAGGATATTTATACTGCATAAGACAATGGTATGATTTAAGACAGAGAATGTTTCAAGAGTCTAAATTCATAACTGCTAAAATCAGCCCCGTCACTTAGAGGGGAATAACATTTTCATTCGCATAAACTGAAGCCAAGACATAAATTCTGTATGTGAGCAGAAATCTGATTTGAGGACCAATAATCCATGGTAAACATACAATCTAAAATTAGTAAATGGTCCTAAAAGTGAACTTTTTTCAGTTTTCAGTAGTTTCTCTTTATTTATAATGTAAGTCAAAACATATTTGTCATTAAGCATAGATACAATATTACTTTTTTCTTCCTCTTTATACTCATTTTCTTCTTTGTTGAAAATGATACATTTACTAGCTGAAAGGATGGTAAATGAAAATGTTGGGGACACAAAATGTCCCTTCTACATGGACTATTTAAAGGGGGCACTCTGAGCAACGTTACCACTACAGCTTTAGGTAGACTGGCCCTATCTCCAATTTAAGTATTAAAGCATTTAGGAATGGTTTGAGATAAACAGAGGTGGCTCTATAATTGCATCAGTAAGATGACAGCCTAAGGCCACATATTTACTTCCGTCCTCATGCACCTCCTAGAGCTTTGCTGTCACTTTGAGTTCATCAAGTGCACCAACCAGGGAATTTTGAGTTTTACCATTGGAAGTTCCTCCATAGGGGAACTTGGAGCAGTGCCCCACTAGTTTTATGTTGGAAAAAAATCTATTTGCAGTAATTAAGAAACACTAAGATTCTTTTTGTGGACGAGGGCGGTAAAACAAATAAATTGGAAAAATTAGTGGCTCTTTAATTCTATAATCAGCTTCACTTCTGCCCCTCCTCCCTCATTGGTAGCTGTTTGGCGAAGCTTACTGTAGAGCATCCAGACATGTAAAAAAAAAATAATTCAGCCCTGTTTCAGCAGATTTTACACATGCTTAGTGTCATTTAACAAAGGATTTCAAGAATGGAGTTGCAACAGAGCCAGCTGCCCATGAGTGGAGGCATGCTATTGGCCTCTCTATTAAAAGTCCATCATTGGCTCATAGCACCAGAGGGTGGGGTTACAGTGCCCATAGGAAAGAGAAGCAATTAGCTATTTTGTAAGTAACACACAGAGAGCACAGCAGATACATATAATATATGTTTCTCTCCCTCAATAGACCCAGTCACTGACTGAGGGCTGATGAAGCAAAGGCATTTACTAAAAGATATATTTAATATATATAAAGCCAGGAAAGTCCAGGGGTAACAAAAGGAGGGGGCATGTCTGACTCAGAGTACTGTGCTCCCTGTCACTAATAGTTTTAATAACTTGTTCTGCACATACCCTCCATCTTCGTTAGTGCCCAGTCACTCTACACCTGAGACCTAAGACACTCATGCTGTGGCTATTTGAAAAGTTGTGAAGCTTCAAACTACAGGACTGGGGCTGTGACTCTGAGGACTGATCTGGTTCTGATTTCAATCTGTTTTAATCTTTAATCATGACTGATTCTGTCAACCATGTCAGCTATGTCTTGGCTCCATATTACCACTGCAGATTAATTATATTGCCAGCTGCAAAGGTAATATCAGTATCCTGCTGCTTTAACCCTGTTTACACTGTGTGCTGAGAGCTAATATTGAGTCGAGTAGCTGAAATGTTTGGCATCTATGAGTATCTTTATTCTTTAACCACATACACACTGTGTGCTTAGAGCTAATGGAGTAGCTGACTTGAATCATTACTGAGGTAATATTTAATAGAAAGAGAAAGTTATCATAGCAGGAGCACTACTTAAGATTAGATCATGTAAGGGAGAGCTAAGGAAGGGCAAGGAGGATAGAGAGCTGGAGCTTTATTCAGAGATATGTACTGTGTGGGGATCTCTGTATTG